CTTGCTGCTTGTGGCGTTGCTTTGTAATGCGAAGGAAAGATTTCCTTTAATCCACTGTGTACGCTGCCACTACCATGCAAACACGAAGCTATGTTAGTGTAATCCAAATTTATTCTTAACTTCTGTGTAGGATTAGTAATTTAGATGATACCTTCGTCATTACAATTGATCCCCAAAAAATGCAAATTGCTTATGACTCAATTAAATAGCAAAACATTTTGCTTGGAAAATTCAGTCAAAAATCAGGAGAAAGCCTATTTATTTTATATCTGATAAAAACATTCGCATATATCTGCAGTTACTTTTTTTTTCTAGATAATAAAGTCCTTGTACCCAATTTTTTTTTTATCAGCATGTGGATAGATTTGCAAGCTTTTAATACTCATAAGAGAATTCCAACAGAGGTCAAGGGGCATTTTTAGAGGATATGTGTAGAGCAGTGGTTTTCAACCAGGGTCCCGCGGAACCCTAGCGTTCCGACAGTAAAACCCAGGGGTTCCGCAAGAACTTACACAAGTACTATGATTGACAGCACAATTGCTGTCTGTAGAAGATGAACTTCATGTGTGTCTGTCAAAAACACGACTCAATATTAAAGATTTGTGCAAGAAACATCAGGCTCAAGTTTCTCATTGAATTTTTAATGAAAATAAATGTAATCCATTTAAACTGAAGTTTTTTTAATACATGTGTAATAACCGTAAAAGCAAGATTAAAATTGCATATGGACGTATACAATATTTTTAGAATTTGTCTTTGTATTTTTTTGTAAATAAATCTGAAGATGTGTATTTTTATTTTATTTTAATAATTGAAAGCTTTTTTTTTTTTTTTTTTGCATAAGACAATTAATTTATTGCAGGGATTCCTCGAGCCACTGAAATGTTTCCTTGTGGTTCCGCTTCAGCAAAAAGGTTGAAAACCACTGCTCTACAGAATTGTATTGAGCACTGTTTTTTTAAAAATCTAAATAGTTAATACGAACACCGGATTATAAATCTTACTGTTTTTTCTCGTTATTTTAATATCTATCTATCTATCTATCTATCTATCTATTTGGTTTTAAAATCAATATTTACTCTTTAATATATTGATTGGTTTTTGATTATTAAATAGATTACGATAAGAATTATTAATCTTTAATGCGTTGTTATTTTTTCAAATATATTTTCAAATATATTTACGATATCATGCACAATTAAATATAAGCAAAAAATCGTATATAAAAATTATACATACATATATATAATAAATACATACAAATCTGATTACTTCTATTTTTAAGATCGTATATATAGCATATATACTTGTATATATATTTACACGTTCTTATATAAAAAATAAATTTATGAATAATATATATATATAAAATATATATAATAATAATATATATATATATATATATATATATATATATATATATATATATATATATATATATGACTTGAAGCTATATCTATATCTATCTATATATATATATATATATATATATATATATATATATTGTATTTGGGCAGGAAATATTTTCATGAATTGATCGATTTTATTTTTTATTTCGACATTATTACTTGCTTTAGACGTCATCATTTTGTACATTTGGAAAATCACTCCATTTTATGTAGGTCGATAGATGTAATAAATTAGGGCGTCTATTTAAAATAAGAAGTGTTCACTTGAACCATATTTGCAGTAGAATCCACACACACACACACACACGCACGCCGCACGCACATACATCTATCTATCTATCTATATATATATATATATATATATATATATATATATATATATATATATATATATATATATATTAAATGTTTATACTCTTCAGCAGTGGTTTTCAACCAGGGTTCTGCGGAACCCTAGCATTCCGCCAGTAATGCCCAGAGGTTCTGCAAGAAGTTACACAGGTACTATGATTGACAATTTATTGCAGGGATTCCTCGAGCCACTGAAATGTTTCCTTGTGGTTCCGCTCCAGCAAAATGGTTGAAAACCACTGCTTTATAGAATAGCATTAATTTTACCTAAAACAGAAATATTGCGTTGTCATTGAGAAGAGCAAAATTTTTCTTTTAATCCACTGTGTACGCTGCCAATTGGTCCCCACAAACGCAAATTACTTATGATTCAACCTTATATATACACCCCTGGAAACTTTCATTCCGGTCGAGCACTCAGGAGAGAAAGCACAAATTTGTAAACAATGACTACTGCTGCTAATACTGCAAAGTTCTTCCATGAATTGAACCCTCCCGATCACTGGCGTGTTTATTCGAAGGATAAGTATGTAAAAATCCACCTTCCTTTCTACCGGCGCTGATAGGGGTAAAATCTCTGACTGAAGTCAAATCAGACGGGTTTCGATCTAGCCTTGAGGCAATTGGATGTCTAGCCACACTGATGAGCTCTGATACAGAAAAACAGCCTGTTCGTGGATAATAATAGATAGATAGATAGATAGATAGATAGATAGATAGATAGATAGATAGATCAGCATGTCTGATGCTGAGCTTTAGGAGAGCAATTCATTGCACATTCTTAGCCTCATATATATATATATATCGGCGCCGGAAAATTTAATTCCGGTCGAGCACTCAGGAGAGAAAACACAAATTTGTAAACAATGACTACTACTGCTAATACTGCAAAGTTCTTCCATGAATTGAGCCCTCCCATCCATTGGCATGGTTATTCGAAGAATAAGTACGTAAAAATTCGCATTCTTCTCTACCGGACGCTGATAGTTCAGGGGTAAAATCTCCAACTGATACCAAATAAGCCGGATTTCGATCCTCGCTTGAGGCAATCGCATGTCTAGCCACACTGATGAGCTGCGATACAGCGCGAAACAGTCTCTCTGCGATATATATATATATATATATATATATATATATTGTCGTCATTTTATATTTTTAATTTCAGGCATGCGCGTTGTTTACTTTTGATTTTGTCGACTGCACAGTATAGTAGGGTCCGTTGAGCACCCTCTGTGAGAAAAAAATGCACCATAACGCAATTCTCTCCGATAGAAATTTGGAAACGACATGCTGTACTGCTTGGCATTCGCGCCGGAAGCTCCAATACGAACATCTCAGAGTGTTTGGGTGTCAATCTCAGGACAGTGCAGATGATTCGGAAAGAGTTGGATGAGTCTAATGGTGATTACGAAGGTACGACAGCTCGGAAAACTCGATCCGATCGCACGGATAAGAAAAGAACTCCCGAATTTTTTGTTGAGGGCTTCAGACAGAATACAGAATGTGTTCAGCAGGCTGAGCTGACTTGGGTCAAGAGGGTGGTTGCTGGAAGACCCTATGTCTGCCAACAGGACTCTGCACCATACTACACAAGCAGGAGAACCCAGTCATGGCTGTCAGACAATTTCTGTGACCACATCACCCCTTACATTTGGCCACATAACTCCCCAGACTGCAAGCACCTCGATTATTATATGTGGGGCGCAGTTGAGCGAGAGATCAACAAAACACCTTCTAACACCGAATATGAACTGAAGACAAGGATTATGGCTGCATTGACCAACTTAAACAAGGAGACCGTCCATAAGAGTTGCGAGAGATTCTGAAGTTTTCTGAAGGCCTTGGTTGAAGCCAATGGCGATTTTATTGAATAAATTTGCTGTATAGTATTTCAAGATATTTTTGCGTAAATATATCTTAAAATGTGATGTCAGTGTTATTTTCATTTTTGCGTAATTTCGACGACAATTTATCCTTCGCACCCTTTATATATATATATATATATATATATATATATGGGATAACAATATATAAATTTTTATATATCAAGAATATTTATGGAGAAAAATGTATGACATAGTGGAAAAAGTTTCGACGCATGTCGTCCCTTAGGACTTCATCAGACTGGGTTTGTTTACATTGATTCGACTATATATGTGCACGAATGAGAGACGCTGAATTTTAAATTTCGAAAAAAAACATTATTTATGTGTTATGATTATATAATCAAGCCAAATTCATTTAGATTCTTTTTTATTTTATTTTTGTTTCCATTACTTTTGTTATTAAATATCCCACATTGTGATAACAGATTTGCTATAAATGGTGAATTGTAAGAACCTGGACGCAAATTTGGATGGCCTAGCGATTAAAGAACTTCCTTTTCGTATTCTTGAATTGTTTTCTCTTAATTAGAGCAGCATTTTTATATCAAAATTGTGGTCAGTCTCGTTACAGTGAGCAACTAATGCGTTTAATGCGTTATTTTTCATAATATCCCTTTTGTGTTCATACAATCTTGTATTTAAACATCATCGGATTTCTCCAAGTTATTCTTTCTGGCAATACTTGCAGGTGATAAAGTTAATTCCTCCTTCAAGTTTATATATATATATATATATATATATATATAGTCATAGACAGACACTGTTTCGCTGTATCACAGCTCTTCACTGTGACTAGACGTCTGCTTGCTTCAATCCGGGATCGAAACCCGACTGATTTGACATCAGTCAGATATCTTACCTAGGCTATCGTCGCACAGCAAAAAGGAAGGGAATTTTAACGTTTTTTCTATACGAAATACGCCAGCGGCTTGGAGAACTCAAGTCATACTTGAAGAGTAATGCTTAATAGCAGTAGGAGCCGCTGTTTTTAAAATATATATATATATATATAATTTTTGGATGACCACAACAATTTTTGTCCTTCACAACGATGAACACTAAATTCCTTATTTATAATTAACAATTAACTGATGATAACATTATGCTATGTCGAAAGTACTCGGTAATAAATACAATAGGAGCCAACATGGTGTTTTCGTCTCGTCTTTTAATAACCGTACAAAAAAGCTTATCCGCGAATATGAAAGAATCCTATCGATAATAAGTAGACAGAACATGTCTAAGTTATTTAACGAAACCTGATGGTTCTGCTTAATTTTCACATAAAGTGACAATTAGGTGGAACACAGTAAGGATCGAAGGCAATATTAATCATTTTTGAGTACAGATTGTGAAGTATTACTCCGACACACAGACAATTAGTCATATTAATCTTCGTCGTTTTAATTTCTTTTTTTTGTTTTTCTTCTTTCTTTCTTTCTTTCTTTCTTTCTTTCTTTCTTTCTGTCTGTCTGTCTGCCTGTCTTTCTTTGCTTTGCTTTTCTTTCCTTCCCTTTCTTTTTTTCTTTTGTCTTTTCTTCTTTTTTTTTTTTTTTTTATTCTGTGTCACTCTTCGACGGAAGTTCTGCCTTCCCTTTTAATTTTACCTTGCTCTCTTTTCTCTCTCTCTCTCTCTCTCTCTCTCTCTCTCTCTCTCTCTCTGTCTCTCTCTCTTCCCCATCTGTGCATTTATCCTTTCCTCTTTTCTCTCTTCCTATCTCACATTTCTTTTTTTCACTTTCTTTTCCGTCTTCTATCTTCTTATGCTTCTTTCTTTCTCGCTTTTTTCTTACTTTCTTTCTCTCTTTCTTTCTTTTCTTTCTTTCTTTCCTCTTTCCTTTTCTTTCCTTTCCTTCCGTTTTTTTCTTTTCTTTTTTCTTTTCTTTTTTTCTTTGTTTATTCTGTGACACTCTTCTACGGAAGTTCTGCCTTCCCTTTCAATTTTACTTTCCTCTCTCCCCCTTCTCTCTCTCTCTCTCTATCTCTCTCTTCCCCCCCTCTCTCTCTCTCTGCATTTATTTTTCCTCTTTTTAATCTTCCTTTTTCACATTTCTTTTTTTTCTCTTTCTTTTCCGTCTCCTATCTTCATATGCTTCTTTCTTTCTCACTTTCTTTCTTACTTTCTTTCTTTCTCACTTTCTTTCTCACTTTCTTACTTTCTTTCTTTCTTTCTTCCGTCTCCGTTTTAATTCCCGGGATGATAATTTTACCTTTGTGTTAGTGACTTTTTCTGTAAGCATTTCTTCTTTCTGTCTTTCTCTTTTCTTTCATACTTTACACTTTTTTTTTTCTTTCTTTCAGCTGGAAAGCAAACGATTGTAATGCATCGTTACGCCACCAGGTGGCAGACGTGCTGCCTGCCAACTGTCATAGCGCGTGCATTAAACAATGCAAGAGACCAGCTTTCTTCATCGTCCACCATCTTGGTTTCTCACTCCCCACCTTTTTTTTTAACTCTTTACTAGCCTTCCCCGTACCGAGACTGCTTTTAACTTCTTTTGTCGAGAAATACGAGCGAGAATTCCTTTGTTTAAAATGAAATAATAGCAACCTTTACAAAGAAAAAGAAAAAAAAAATCCAAACATGACGGATAAGGGATAGCGATCAAAAAGACAATTAGCTGATGTTTTGGAGTTTCCGACATTCTAAGGAAGTGTAGGTTGTCGGGTAGGGAGTTTTAGTTTTTTTTTTTAAGGTACAGAAAAGAAGACGTTGTAAAAAGATGTGGGTTTTATGGAGCGTGGAACTGTGGGAAATAAGGGGCAAAATACGCAGGAAAAACTGGCGCACACAAAACTGACCAGACTTTTTATTTTGTGTGTGTAATCAGTGCAAAAAGATCGATTGATTTTGAAATCGCCTCATGCGATTTCAAATCATCAGTAATAATAAGAATAATACAACCAACAAATGTAAGCAATTGTCTGTGATAATAATTATTCAATTTGTTGTTGTTGTTGTTGTTATTATTATTATCGTTATTATTATTATTATTATTATTTTCTTTGATTTCTGGCGTTTACACATTTCTTTCCAGGTCCCGCCAGGGACCTAAGGTTAGAAATGGCATCATGACACTTTCCACTGACCAAAAAAAAAAAATTACATAGATAAAGCCCTTCGTAAAGTGTGGGCTGTACTTGTCAGAACAATATTTTGTATCTCCTTGAGGCATGGACTTCCAGGAATCCCCTCAATTAGTCTACTGCAGTCTTTTCCAACCAGTCTTAGGGCTCCAACTACAACAGGGATTGTTGATGTTCCCATATGCCACATTTTCGAGATTTCTATTTCATGGTCCTTGTATTTTGACAGCTTTTTGAATATCTTCAAAGATACATTGCAGGGACTGCCATATCAATAAGGAGGCACTTTTTTTGTTTGTGGTCATTAATAACAATATCTGGGCGGTTGGCCTTGATTGTTCTGTCAGTGTGTATTGTGTAGTCCCATAGAATTGTAACAGGTCCTATCTCCGTAACCGGGTCTGGGTGGTGTTCATACCATTTTCTTTCAGTTTCCTTCCCGTAGAAGTTGCAGATTTTCCAGTGCAGGTATTGGCCCACTCTGTCATGCCGGGTGCCAATATCGTGCAACCTGATATTATTATTATTATTATTATTATTATTATTATTATTATTATACTGTTGGTGTCGCATGAGGCCCGGTGTCAACAAAACTCAAGAAACTTTCTTGATATCTGGAGCTATACCATCTTGGTCTCAATTCTAATTCTCCCTAAGTGTTTTTTCACACTTGTCGGTTGTATCGGACGCGTCATAAAAACTTTTTCCAATTTGAAATACATCCTTTCTTTCATATATATATATATATATATATATATATATATATA